TGTCCAGTAGATGTGTTACCGGACTGTGTAGAAGCTGACTGACGATGTCCACTTTTATTACCCGGGGTCCAGGAGTGGGCTGTTGCACGTATTGGGGTTCCATGACTGGAGGGATGGACTGATTTAGTGGATATCTCGGGTGTTACTTTGCGTGGTTTAGACGGCGGGTCGGGGTAGTTGGCAAGCTCTGACAGTCTTGTTACAGAAGTTTTGCCACCAGATCTGTTTCGCACAATGATTTTGCCATCTTGGGTCCATGTCCCAGAAAATGTTCCGATAGATCTCAGGTATCTAGCTTTAGCATACACAGCTGCTCGTTGTTTTGTGAGAGCTTCATTTAAGTAGAAGGGAGGCTTGGAGCGCACTACGTCAGCAAATGAGTCCTTATGTGGGGATTGGTCAGATTGTATACCAAATAATTGAAATCGGCCATCGTACACCTCAGCCCGGGTGGCATAAGATATAAAGCGTACTATTATGTCCCTTGGGTAGGTAGGGGATTTCGGGCCAACCCGATGGGAATTACTGATGTCAGCTGATGTTACCATTACTCCCAGTTGGTTATTGCACGCCTCCACGATAAGTGAGGTGGTGTTTTCACCTTCCTGTTCACCCTCTTCTACACGACGTTCGAGGGCATCGATCTTGGCCTCTAAGTTTGTGATACCGAGGGTGGCCATGAGAGTAGTTTTAAATAAAGAATTTTTCATCAATTGACCCACAACCTCAGTAATTAAGCTTTGGTCCGTTATATCTGCAATGACCGCTACACTTTCTCTCACTTTGTCGGGTAGGGCTTGCATTGTTATTATGGTAAACAATATGGCGGCTTTGTAGTAGGTGTAGGTCCGACAATTAAAATGTTCAGAAAAAGGTCATAGAACACTGTAACGCTTATATATTCTTCAGTGTATATATATCACATACTTGAATGTTAGAAAGGTCAGTTTCGGGCTCACTGCGTCTTCATATTAATGTTTAATATGATGAAGGATCCTCTCAGGCGTCGGTCACTTCAAAATACGTCCATTCTCTTCAAACCGGAAGTCAATGATTTAATCTTATAACAGCTAATTTCGGTAATACAGACCATCATTGAATGTTGTCATAGCTAACGTTGGTGATATACAACCAACATTCAATTTCGTAATAGCTAATCCTGGTACATGTAATATGTAACAACCTATATGAAAATGAAGAAGAATGTAAATAAAATAAATCTTTCTTCGTTTTACGAGGATTACATTTTACGATCTCTGCACATGAAACTCAAAATCCTACAAAAGTCATGAATGCAACAAAGTATAGACGGACATCATTGAATCCGGTTAAAGTCTATCTAAGAAATAAATAACCATAATTTAAAGGTTGATACTGCTGCCCTGCCATAAAGTATCCAAGTAGGTTGAGTATGTTTGCAAGGAATAGGTTAAAACATCGTTTTCTTCACTGCTTAACGGCGTGCTTTTTATTTCTATTTTAGCTGATGTTCCTCTCTCACAGAATTTAAATGGCCTAGAGATTCTACGGAAACAACCAACATCAAAATCACTTAGACAGTGTTGCAGCTCTAGCTATGAACTTACAGACCTATCTCAATTCGAAACGAATACGTTGTTTTCATGGTCAGTGGAGGTATGGTGAAACAATTCTTATGTAATTTCAAGAATAATTTATACACGTAGCAATTCTGAAAACATAATTGTTATTGCATCATTTCTTATTAATAATTATTACTAAAACGTTGTTAAATTAATATATTTTCTCCAATATATAGTTTCATACTTTGATACGAAACAGAAGAGTTTAGTATGACTGAAAAGTCTTAAGTGGACGAAATCACCATATTGTGCCGTAAATATTTCCTTTGTTTGGCTCTCCCCATCGGCCTAAAATGTGTTAAAATGTAAACCTCCTTATTTTGCATTTCTAGCAGATTTTTTGTCCCATTACAGGAATCCCAAGAGTGCTACCGAAAGATAATGGAGGAGGCCAATGACCACTTCCTTCTTTAACGATACGCCGTGTTTGTTTTTGGTCCCACGCTCATGTTTTTTATCGGGCTTCTGCCTTTAGGCATTGTCACATTATTCGCCTCATTGTATATTTTGTTATCAATACTTACCGGAGCAGACACCTCTATCTCAGACCTGGTTCCAATTTCCATTTTGTTGATTGGTTTAATCATAGGTCTCTATACTGTATGTACAGTGTACCTATTTCATCAGGTATGTGTATCTGACATAAGATATGTAATGCTCGTAAAAAACTATTACACCAATGTACTTGCTTCTGTAGTTTATGATTTGAAAAGATGCAACGGCCCTTGTACAAACGGAACCAGTAAATAGATTAAAAACTTCCAAAAAGCATCTTAATGACTTGTTTATAAAAGTCATGAAGTCGAAAAGAGTTAGATGATTTCAGAACTTGAATTTTAATCTTAAAACGATTTAGAAAAAAAATACATCTAAAACTTTGAGGTAAGGTCAATAGATGATGTCTTCACATTTATCCTTCTCATTAAATAATCAGACTTCTGCCATGTCATTTTTCTTGCGTTGCTAATTATTTTGCTAACGCTGGATTGATTATGGTCTTTTATATAGAAAACCCTATCGGTCTGTTGCCTTCAATTTAACATTGTAATGCTTTATAAATAAGAAGATATACACTTTCTGCCACCTTCAAATACACATCGTAATACAACTCAAGTTTCCTTCAATATGTATGTTTGCTTCCATTTCCCTCATTTAAGGTCTGCAATATGGAGATCGGAAAAGCCCCTGTAGTTACTTGGCAAGGGTAAAAATACATACAAAATATGTAATCTTGGCTTTTCGATTTCTTTAATGGTCTATACTGTCTTTGATTTAGTTTGCCTTGAAACCAACCTATGACCATCCAAGTCAATGTTTTCTAGTGTATTTCCTGGCCTATTAAGAACTGTGGTGGTTATTAAAATTACTGTGACAAGTTATTTTGGTTTTTTCTCATTTCAGATAATGAAAAGACTCCATTCCATCGTGCGGAAGAAAACAGATTGTAAATCACAAAATTACATCGTTATTCCCAGACGGCACAGAAACGCCATTTTCGTATCTTTTACCTCTTATGCATTTAGATTACGTCATACGTGAGATATAATGGATTTATAAATAAAACATATACTTTTTAAACTAATCAATTTGGTGTTTACTGAAAGGTTAATAAATGTGAAAAAGATGTGCCTTAAATAAAAGTTTATCTGTAAAGAAAGATAATCAGTCTCTGCCTATCTAATCCCTATCTATATATATCACGATGAGCTGATGTAACCTCCAATGTAAATGATAAAATATTTTGTAAATCCAAATACAAAGTAAGGAATTTATCAATAGTCTGACATATATGCCTTGACAAATTAAGATTTCCTTCATATATTACGACATGAAACCATGCTGGGTAAGTACTGTTAATTATTATTTCGAATAGCTAACGATTCCTTATTTTCAAGCAGATACTAGGTATGATGACATGATTTGTTTTTGGTAGGGTTGGTATATAAACGTAGGCGGATGCATAGGCTATCTAAATTATTTATGTTTCACTTAATCAGTTACAGTTATATTTCCTAAAAGTTCGTAAGAGTACAGCTGCGACGTTGGAGGAAAATAGTATTCAATTATAGCCTTTGGCTGAGGTCGATAAATCCAGGTATTGACCGAAGTTAAAGGCTACAATTGTTTTATTATTTTACAAAACAGAAATGTAAGCAATCTGAAAAAAAAATGCTTCGGAAGTGAGACGGTGCATTGTTTGGAGGCAAGTCATAATTCTATATTTAGAAACACCCAGTCTTTCAACAAAAATCACGCGCTCCAAGTCAATATCGGTTTTTATCGGTGGACACGTAATGCACTTCTGGCCAATCAGTTGTCGGGAATAATATGAAAAAATAATAAGCAGTGTTAATGTTCGATGAAATGACTATGGGCGTTAAGGGTAATCGCAAGTTCGCAAATATAAAGTTTCAAATTCATTCGAAAACTTGTTTAGGAGATATGGCATTACAAAGAGAGACAAAAACATGTATTTTCATAATAAAATGCGTGAATATCGTCTGTTGTGTTCTATTTGGTTGACAATTCGCCATTTTGAAGGAAATTAACTGATCACTTTTCAAATTTTGAAATCCTGCGCATGTGCCAAACAAATAAATATTTTACATTCCTAAAAACTGTCATACCAGTGTTCATTCGTAGAAAGGAATGTTTGTTTGTCATATGCGGAGGCGTTCAATTCTGCATGCTAACTGTCCAAAACAACATATTTTGGCTATTTTTGCATACCAACTATTGGTAGGGCATCTACGCATGTGCGTTGAAAAACATCTGCACCAAGAAAGATAGCCCAAATTAACCAGTATGATGTTTAAAATAGAAAATAGTAAATAAATACAAGTTGAAATATTTTTTTTTATGAGGCCGAAAATGACCCATAAGTCCTTTCACTATGATAGTATTTACATCGAGATGATGAATGAAAGCTGACAGTTTGTCTATATTGGTTCGGTTTACCTTGCTGAAGAATGGCTGATTATGTTAGAATGGCTGATAATGTTCACATCAAAAGAAAGTATCCATACTTTCAAGATTAAGAGTGCGTAGTAATTTATATAGTATAACCAACACGTATTAGGCTTACTCACGATTAGAGTCAAGAAAAAAAAGTGTACTGAGAGAAACGATGAGCGCCGAATGTTTCTTGGCGGAAAGATTTAAGAGTGCTGTATTTTCAGAAACTTCGAGACATCATTGTGTATACACATTGTGTGCAATAATACAACATTAAAGTGAAGCATACGATAATAATTTCTCTGCAGCTTTGAAAATGATAAAAAAAAGTAAATATCAATAGGCTTTTACACATTTCCGCTTCTGTTTGAAAAGTGGTTTAGAGTAATTTGGATTTAAAACGTTTCGGCTCCTAGCATCGCCGATAAGTCCTTGAGGGACGAAACAGCTGCATGATGCAGTTCAGTTCTATATTTGCAACCCCCCCGGGGTGTTGCGTTCATCTTTCTGGGATACCACATACTTATAGATCAGAAAACGCCACAAATACTTACAGTTAATGGAATTATATTGTCGCATCACTAATAATATGTCTTCATTCAAAACTGAAATCCGTCTCTGATTTAGAATTATCTGGAACAAAGAGCACGAGAATATTGGCCGGATGACACCGAAGAGGACATCGCTGTGAGTATATTGTGTAACATTTCACATGCGTCCGTCAACAATTTACTTAGCACTATAACAGGAGTTAAATCACGATCAAGACGAATTTAACTCATTCATCCGTATATATATTTAAACCAGTCTTTGATTTTGGTAAGATTCACATGCTACTTTGGGGGTGAATGGGATAATCAGTTGATGATAGGAGCAAAAGGTCCAATATGTTTAGCTTAAAAGTGTTCAATTTGAGTAAATGTTTGAGGTGATGTTCATCACAATTATTTCTCTATAGTATAAACCTGGCACAAGATTTTCCGAAAATTCCTAAAGCCCAAATTTAAACTAAATTAACATGTTGCATGCTATGTTATTTCTATAGGTAAATACAGAAAGGCACAATAACACTTATTTTGATTTTATAGAAAAAATGCAATGAGGAATTGGTCACGACTATCCTTGGCTCGTTTAAGGGGTTAGACTTGAATGCAATACCGCAGGCAGCGCCCATCCGGCACAATACTTATCAGAACAGGTGTTGCTTGTGTTTTGTCGCACAGTCGTCATGGACAAAAGGGAAGTCAGCATTAAATGTCATACCAGAACAAGTAAGTTGTAAATTAACTTAAGGATCTCGGTTCCACTGAGAAAACTGTGACTTAGTTATCTATTGATTACAGTTTTTTTTTTATCTGGCATGACCATAGCTTTGATAAATCAATGCTATAAAGAAAACAGTATCTTGAAGGACTTTTATGAAAAAAGGTTAAGATAAAAACACAATCTACATGAGTGCTCTGAGTGTAAAAAGCTCTGAACTTCATTTCATTTCAAATATATTTTAATGATTAAACAAAAGGATTGAGCAACATGCTTTGCCTATATACGCTCTCTCCATGGCTTCCAGCATACTTATGATAGTTGCAGACATCGAATACAATATTTACATACATACATTATATTTCAACTCATCTCATGACATTTGGGTACATTTATTGCGAGGTAATATACAATAATTAGACTGGATGAATATTTTCATGTTTCTACAAAATTACGTTATTTCATGTGATACATGGACTTACATGAAATTACAAACTTTGCTATATTGATTTTTAATATAGTTGTAAAATATTTGCCAAAACAAATTAAATATACCGTTATGGATATACACAGTATTCCAAATCGAATCATATATATGGATATACGTCTTGACCTGGAGCCACTAACATTTTGCTTCGGCAACATGAAATAAAGCAAAACTGATACATGCATGTATGCTGATAAAAAAAATGTACCAGGACTTATTTGAAGTAGATAGTCTTGAGATGAGTTGGAAAATCAAATAAAAAATGAACTAAAAGAAAACAGAAGAAAAAGAAAACACAAAAAGAAACCTTAACTAAATATATAAGAACACAAGAAAGTCTCGCACACACACTCTTACACTCCAACACCACATATGTTTCTACTGACATAGGTTTGTTGGTTTATTTAATGTAGTTTATATTTGTTTTAAATTATGTGCAGTTGGGCATTACATATGATAACAAAGTACACTAGTTCAAAGGATACAAATATATGGCATTTTGGTATTTCATAATAAATCATTAGTTTTTCAATAATTAAATAAATTATAACTATTCTATTGATTTACATTACTCCATCGTACCTTAAGTGTAATGACCACATAAAGCCCCTGGACATTTGTTGCCCGGTGATCAATCAACCTTGGTATATTGTATATAAATATATATATAAATTATTCAATATCAACATAAATAATGAATTGATCTTACAGAATACAAACAATACATCAACCACAAACAGCTTGTATATTTAACTTAATTTAATCTATTTGAACCGTCTTGTAGCATTAATGCACTCCATCAATTGGTTGTCCTGTAAATCAGTATTATTAGTGTTACCATTTAGAATAGGATTTTAAAATATTGTATTATGGAAATCAACATCATTTAATATAAGATCCTGCATAGGAGTTTGTCGTTCATCTGTGTAGAGAGGACGAAATGGTAAGTTGACTAGCACCATTTCTTAATCGACACATTAATATATTAGTTTTTTCGTGAACCAGAGTACATACATTTTGTTCTGTGTCCCCTACAATTGCCTTTTGTATTTCACTTTTAAAAGTAATATGATTAGTAATATTAGTAAAGTTATTATCGGCACTGTTCCATATGTTCATCATGCTGGGAAAAAAACCTATTAGCATATAGCGTGGTTCTAGGAAGAGGCACATTGAAAATTATTGAGTGCCTAAGATTGTGTGTATTTTCTTCTGGGTTTAATATACATGGTTGAATAATTTCATGTAGATAATTTTGGGTTATTTTGTTTGCTATTTTAAAGAAGAAGATGTGTTTATGTTTATCCCTCCTATTCTGTAAACTTTCCCACTCTATTTCTTTACATACTATACAATGGCTAGTCCCTTTTCTTAGACCAGTAATTATTGTCTATTATTATTTATAATGAAGTATCATCAGCAAATAATTTTAAATTACATCTAGAAAAGAAATACGTTTGGTCCTAGGACCGAGTCCTGAGGTACCCCAGCTTTCAACATTTGCCAAGTAGAGTGGAAACCATCATATATTACTCTTTGTTTTCTATCTCTGATATATTTATCGAACCACCCATACATATTATTCTTAATTCCATATTTCTCCAATTTATGTATTAATCCTCTATGCCACACCCTGTCAAATGCATTATATCACAAAATAACTAGCCTTATTTCATTTCCTTCATCCTGCTGACTTACTATAGTATTATACAGTGACATAAGTTGATTAACTATATAGTCTTTAGGAAAGAAACCTGATTGATTTTTTGAAATTATATCATTTAAAGACAGATAATTATATAAGTATTTAAAAATGATTTTTTCCAACATTTTTATAAATATTGGAGTAAAAGAGATTGTTTCTATAGTTAGTTGGATCACACTTTTGACCTTTACCTTTATATATAGGGACAACAGTAGTACATTTCCAGATGTAAGGGAGACAATTCGACTCTATTGATTTATTAAATAATATTAATAAGGGTTTAACTAGCGATTCAGTTATACCCTTTACAAATTAGGGGGAAATATTATCTGGACCTGCTGATTTATTGGTATTTATTAAATTGAGCTGATCTCTGATACCAAAAGGTAAATGGTGGAAATTCAGTTAGTGGTGTAACATCATCATCTGTTTTATTTGAAGTTGAGATAGTCGCAAAATATTTGTTCAGTACTTCAGCTTTCTCTACAGGATAAGTTATCATTACTTTTATTGTTGATGTTTATTGCAATTTTCCAACCTTTGTCTTTAGGAGTAGATTTATAAGAAAGCGAATTTTGGAGTTTTTCAAGATATGTTTCCTTTGCTGTTTTGCCTAGCGTAATGACCTCATTTCATAAATGCCTAAATGTACTCCATACTATCTCAGTATTGTTTTGTTAAGCTTTTTTGTGTTGTCTAATTTTAAGTCTGATGTCATTGTTAAACCAGGATTTGTCATTCGGTCTTACAGTTATGGTTTTATGGGGTACAGATTTATCTATGCATTCATGTATTTCTTGTGTGAGATATTCATTCAAATTTTCTACATGTAACAGGGATAATTTGTCATCCCAGTCAATAGATAATAGAAACACATTTGCTCTCACAAAATCTGCAATCTTGTAATACAATACATTTTTTTATAACATTTTTGTTGCAGAGTTTTATATGTTATATCTGCTCTAGTTGGACAGTGATCACTACAGAAGGGTGCATTTACTTCAACATTTTTGACTATATTACAGTTATTTGACATAATGACATCAATACTAGTGGATGAGCTTGTAGTTGCCCTAGTTGGTTCATGTATGTGATTTTTTAATCGCATTTGGCCATTATTCTTGAAAGTCTAAAGTTTGCAGTAAGGTTAAGCATATCTTGATTAATATCGCCTATAAGTATCAAGTCTGTATTTAAATCAATAACTTTTTCTAACATATTATCAAAAATATTGCAGTAATCTACCAAAGGAATCGGTGGTCTATATATGCATCCAACTAAGAAAGTTTTTTCATAGATTTTAACTATTTTAAAAGTATTTTTTCTTTTAGCATACAGATAATCTTTTACATAAACTACCACTCCTCCACCCCTATGTGTTTCTTTGTCTTTCCTAAATATAATTTTGTGGCTGTCTAAGAGTATATCAGTATCAGCAATATTTTTATTTAAATTAGTTTCAGTTAAACATATTATATCAATATCTGAGAATTCGCTTTCAATAACATCGGTCTTGTTTCTTAGAGAACAAGCATTTACATGACATATTGTAATATTATGATAAAATGCACTTAAGTTGTTATTTAGAGAATCAACTGAGCCTGGGTTAGTTTGTTTGTCATTGCAGAGAATCAACAGCAAAATCAGAATTTTAAAATAAAACATCAAATGTTTTGGAGTGTGAAACATGTGTACAAATTGGATAATTGGTATAAAGAAAATCTCTTTCATCCCGCTATGTTTATACACACAAGCTGACATCTAGGGTTCAATCTTACGAAGAGAACTCATTTTCGGCTGCAAGATGACTGAGATTTTCTGCCTCACTAGCACCTAGGTATTGTAAAACGAAATAGACTCATGCCGTTGGGTGATGGTAATATATAGAACACAATACACAAATGTACAACTCGACACACATACACTAAAAATAACAAACACACTTGCATTCATATTGTCTTCCTCGCCTCTCACTCCCAGGTCTCGTGGACGTTATTTTGAATATTTTGAACATGATTAACATAAAGCTTTGTTTCACATGGAGGTTTAAAAATGTATGTGACTCTGATTTGTGGTTTCTTTCAATTTGCTGGCTGTGCCTATGGAATTGGTTCGATATTGGAATATAAATTAACGAATTATTAACTTATTTCACCTGACATATTGAGAAGAGAGGAATGACATGTACCTTACCAGGGAGAACTAACACACAGTGACTCTTGTATGTGTTTGGGCATGTACTGAACTTCAGATTGGTATGCTATCGCTGTAACTGATTGAGCTATCTTGTCAGTGAAAGTGTACTAGTCCAACTGAAACGGAAGTCACTGGGAGATTATTGTATACAGTATAGGGAAAACGGCAGTGCAGTGTTGAGTATAAGTACTATGTAGACCACATAGGTCGTTTATACTTACTTGAGAGTCAGACCAGATCAGTTGTTTACTTACTGCAAATGCCGACCAAGTCAATTGCAAGATGTTCATCCTTATGAAGTACCTTTACATTTCCTTGTCGTTTTAATATACATAAAAACAATTTATAAAAAAAAATAAAAAATAAACAACAACAAAAAACCAACAAGAAATTCAGCCGTTGGTGTAGTGTGTAAATATCATCTGATTTGTTAAAGTATCCCAATTATTTAATATTGCTTTGTTTACGATTTGCAGTGTCTGGAAAATCAAAATGAAGAAACATGTGTCATGAAAATTGCAGAAAGCGAAACAGACCATGAAACTTTTGTCAAAAAAGCACTTGAAAATGAACATTTTGAATCGACAGAGGGAAACGACGAAACCAGCGTCATGAAAATATTATGCAATATACAAGAGAGTATTTCTTCTTATTCGCCTGGTGCAGGAGCAGTGAGTGGTTCACCTCTAACTGAAGCTGGAAGTGGTTTACCTTTGGCAGAAGCAGTAGGTTGTACATCTCTGAGAGGAGCAGAAGGCGGTACATCTCTGACCGAAGCTGCAAGTGGTTTACCTTTGACAGGAGCAGAAGGCGGTACATCTCTGAGAGGAGCAGTGGGTGGTACATCTCTGACCGAAGCTGAAGGTGGATCATTATTAGATTCGAACATTGACCGATGGTATGGAGACATGTGTGAAACTCGTGTGCGCGGGGAAGCTTCATCTACACAACAACCACAAGTGTCACACGAGCTGATTACTTGGGGGGAAAATCCAGTGAATTTGACTGATTCTGTAATGTCTACCTCATTTAATGATCTTGAGGAGGCTGTACCTTTACAGTCAGGAGACGAAGAACTGCAATGGTTTCGTGGAGAACATGATATCGACGAGGCGACACATGCAAAAGTACCAAGATAATAACAAACAAAAGACTTGCAATGAGGCTGAAACTTACCAGATATTTGTAAAAATATTGCGATATTGCAGTTGATTCGTCCTCTATCTGGTGTCAAACAAGTACGTGTTAGATCATAAACGTGAAAAAGGTATCGGCCCTTTACGAAACATTATGTTATTACGATAGTACTAGCATATAAAAAGTACATGTACATATCATAGGTTTTATTCTTTTCAGTGTTGACAATGACTCCGGGTTTTTTTCTTTTTCGCTGATCCCCAGCTTCTGAATTCGACAGTGCGTGGGATTCCTTTGTTCTTCTTTTAGTTTGTTGTCTCCCCGGCTCCTGAAAGCTACGAATTTTGGAGTTCATGATGTTATTTCGCTACTCATAACAACGTTTTGTGAAGATTACATGTGTAGTTTCTTAATATTGATCCAGTTTGTTGTTTTCGCAGCTCCTGGTCTTATTGACTTTGTGTTACGACTTTGTTATTGTACGTTGGCGCCGTGATTTATATGCCATAGTTAACTACAGTTGTGGGATCGCACAACGTTACACGATGTGCGGTGTGCGCACGATGTGTACACGGTGTGTGAACGATGTGTGCAAGATGTGTACACGGTGTGTGAACGATGTGTGCACGATGTGCGAACAATAAAAAGTTGGACGATCATTGCTTGCGAACATTTGTGTGCACGATGGACGAACGATCTGCGATAACAATCGTGGTTGGTGTAAATTGAGGAATGCTTGTATAAACTTGATTTTTTACGTATGTTTTCTATACTCTACCTACATATATACGCTTATCTTTATGTCTATACTTTCTTAAATTTAGAAATTGTGTTTTCGATATTTTTAAAACGACCTTAATCGACACATGTGAAATCACAACACAGTCCCGTATACAGGTAAATATAGCCACTTTATACATGTACCTTGATCTTAGTTTTCCCCCGCCAGGAGGGCTTCCGTATTTCGTCGGGTAGGGCCAGGGGTATGAACACACAGGTGAAGGGGAGCTATAGGCAAACCGAATGCAAATACCAAATACTAAACGTCCAGTTGTGTTTTCATTACGGTCATACGGTATGGCATATCAGCTCTATGTGTCAGGTACAGGCTAGGTAAAACTCCGGTCACTCATCAAATTGTTATTTAACTGTTCGGTTACCTTGGAGCAAAACCCATTCTTGACAGTCTAACGGTCACTGTAATGCTGTGTTATACGCATTGTAAAACTGTACATAATCTTCATTTCTGTGATAAGAAATTATAGTAATACATACAGTTTTCATTATTATTACGCTTTATTGACAAATTTATGTCAGACCGGTATTACAATAAATGGAGAGAAAAACTGAGTGAAAAACACGAACTCCGACGTTACTCTGTGATCCATACGACACGAGGCCCTAGCCCGTTATTACTTCTAAGCTTGAAATATAGACCGTTTACGTGGGACATAGTGTATATTCTCAAATTATCATTTACTTGGGAGAACACTGGCGTTGTTTGTAAACTGTGCTCGAAGGAAAGTAGTGATATTGTGACACACTTTGTCATCGAATGTCCAGCCCTATTTCATAGTAGAGATATGTTTTTAGAGAAAGTTGTAGACTGTATAAATGTGAATTCATACGCTGACTTTTCATTTTTGGAAGAAAGCGACCAAACAAACTTCCTTCTTGGAGATCGAACTAAAGTATCACTACCAGATGACGAATGGGAGCAACTTATGCTAGCAGTAGCCACCAATATTAAACACCTCTTGAAAGATATGAACTCTGTTCTGTAGATGTTTCCCGATATTCTGTAATATGTGAAATGTGTCTTTATGTGTATAATCTCTTATGTAAGAGGAAATAAAGAATATCTATCTATCTATCTATCAGCTCTATGTGTCAGGTACAGGCTAGGTACATAATCTTCATTTCTGTGATAAGAAATTATAATAATACATACAGTTTTCATTATTGTATACGAGCTTTCCGGGTTTTTTTCATTCCGTAATATTGATCTACAAATTGTACCCAATCGCACAGTTGTGCAGAGAGAAGCGTTATCTTTGTATTTGGTAACAGACTGCCTGGTGTTCAATTGATTGTCGTTCAAAATCGTATTTAAGACAAATAAACAGAGTCAATATATTGAAACACTGTTTTGGATTCAATGCGTAAAACATGTTGGAAATTTGAAATGGATTTCTTTTATATCTTCAATAAGATTCATCAGTTTGGAAATATGTTATACACAGTTTTTTTCTTTATGCACAAATAATGTACGAATTAAACCTGTCGCAACGTTTAAAAACCGAATGATACGTTTGTCAAGATATGAATGACCGAGCGATTTGTACTATTTACCTGTGAAACGATATGACGAAATAGTTTATTTCTTATGTCACCTCGAGTAACATAAGAAATATACAATTACGTTACATCAATGTAAAGGAAAACAAGACAATCGATCACTTCGTCAAAGCTTGACAAAGGAACAGTCGGTTTTTAAACGTTGTGACATGTTTAATACGTACATGATTTGTGTACAAAGTAAAATTTGATAGTAGATTTCTTTTATATTTAAATACTTTCAGCAAGCTCATGTCAGTGTTATGGTCTCATTTAGCACTGGACGCGATGGACGCAGTGTTACAATTTTGTATCAAGAACAAACTAAAATATTGATCAGTGTATACACTGTTTGTTGAAAATATTGTTGTTTTCGGATAAAAAGTATCATTTAAGTATTTTTGTGCACATACACAAGCTCCAAATTTACAAATAATAAAGAGGTCCTGAGCTATCTTTGTGTTATCATTGTATTCACATTGGACATACACTATATGTAACCTAACTAATTATGGATCTAATATGGAACGTGTTTTGGACAGTGGAACGGTTAAATCCTACATGCTTTGGATGCTCGTTTACCTGCTGTCAGCGATGTAGTATTGTCGTATTTCTTGTACAAAAATGACAAGACCATAGTTTAATTATAAGTTCGTTGCATTTATTCAATTAGGACATTTGATATATCTGTAACAAATATCACAAACATAAATACACTGTCAAACTAACCAAACATTCATCAATCACACCTACAAAGGGAAATAACTTTTATAAGAACTAAAGGAACGGAAGAATAAGTTACATTTACGAATAAAAGATACCTTAACTTTTATATTTCAAATAAATGTAAGGCTAACATTTCTTCAGATAAACACGCCGCACCGCCTGCAGCTACGTGTCGAAACCTGGCCAGGTGGTTGCGGATGATTGTGTAGGATCACGAGTGTTTATGATTAGTGTGTGTGATAGTATATTGTTGATGGATGGAATTGTAATAATAACGTTATAAAATATATCTACCATGTGAGTCAAAGTATGTGTTGCCATTGCTATAGGGACTTTGTGTTGTTATCCGGGCTCTTTCTTAATCTAACTTCCTTCCGTTCTTTACTAAACGTCTTTTCATTGGATAATCACTCCTCTTGGTAAATCCCTATCTTATTAGCTAAACTTCTATCAAAACATTGGAGCACATGTCTCATGACCGATCCGTGGAGCTAGGTGGGTGTGTTTGTGCTACTGTACTGTCCGGGGAAAGCCGTGCTGGCTGTCCGCTGTGTTTGTACTGTCATGTAGTGTGTGATAGTAGCTATGCTAGGGTTTTGAACAGGTTGTTTCGTCTCTTTATGTTTGTTTCTTTGTTCTTTAAAATAAATGTATAGAATAGTATCTGTCAGTTGTTGTCAAAACCCTGGAACCACAGGCTAAATTAACCTTGTAAGCGAAGCTAGGACTCGCTCCTACTGCACATGTGCACGTTTTACAATCCACACGTGGTTGATGCAATTTAAGGAATGCCGGCAAGTAAAATAAAGACGGAATTCATATTAGTATGCCTTACAGGTATATAAATCTTTTGATAAATACACGAACGCATATTACTTACCCGCACGTGTATGTTTCATGTAACGAGATAGTTTGTTTTTTCCTTTTTGTTAACCGGCTCTTTGCTAATCAGTCATTGAAATGAAATAACACAAAACCTGCATCAGCATAAGAAAAGGCGTGCAGATAGACGAAATGTGATTATGTAAAACCACTTGCATGTAAATATGTCAGGTTCGTCTGGTCGAGGGGGAAATGTTTCTGAAACTGAAACATGCAAAGCAATATCTTGCCTAATTTCCCAATGAAAACAACCAATGAGGTAACAGAACTACATGACGTAACATCGCAAAGACTGACCAGTCGGACACTTCTATTATACAGTACTGTGCAAACGAAATGAACAAGACGTATACATCACTGCGGTAATACATTTGATACTTTAAGGACTCGCACAACTAAGTCATTCACTTAAAAAAAGTATGCCCCTGATACACTGTAATAACCATTATGAAACGTAAACCTTAGTTCGTATATGCAATAACTTCCCCTTACTAATGATGCATTTATGCTAACTGGTTAAAGGTATATCCAGTGCTTCAGCGTTTGTTGCAACATATTCTCCTAATTGTTTCAGTGATATAAGACTGTGTAAGGAAATTCATTGACAAAGTTGTTTCAATTACTGAAAATGTTGTGACTTTACATCATTGCTAATCCTGTGCGTCCATGCCATTTAAAATACCGTGTCTTCCTATCTCTGAAAAGGATTTGTATTTTACTTATTGACAATACTGTGTCTTCCCCATAATGACAGCGCTGTGTTTTTCTACCATTGACAGCGCTTTGTTTTTCTATCATTGACTAGATAGATTAGATGGTTAGAGCGACATTAAAACAATTTGAAGTGCTGTGTTCGAATTCCTATGTAGCTCCAATGAATTTTTACACTCAAAACACTGTTG